GTTTATATAATTGACCAAGCACAAGTAAACATAGTCAAACTTCAAACTTTGCGTCACCCAGCTTTATACTAACGAAGACTTGAAGTGAACTTCTCCCAGCAATTAGGCGCGTGCAGGTGCATGGTACAACTGTCGGTGCGTTTCGGCATCAGCTGTCATTCTGACTCACATTACATGGTTTGGTAAACACTGAACCTATAAACCTCTCAATACACAATGCAGATGTGTTTTGTGTGATGATGAATGCTGGGCGTTATGCATCTACCTGCCGTACAAACATTATGCCCGCATGCTTCATATTTATTACCAGTTTCTCAAACCCGAAATAATTTATTAGAGCATCTACGAACCTTATGACAGGACTTAAAAGATTAAACAACTCAACGTTCAATCTTATGAGTTTTTGGGACAACTACAACGGAGAACAGGGGAAGGGAGGGTACTCACGCTGCTATTTTCACCCGTCCAGTGGACCATTGCCTGGTTGTGGGTGGCATCCCCTTTAAGGACGAAAGAGCTGCTGAGTAGAGAGACTTTCTCCGGAGTCGATGCCCTCCGGACTCGGGGAACTCCCATGGCCGGTCCGCCCGGGTCCCCGCTGTAATCTCCGCGGCTGTGCGCTGAGATAAGCGTTTCATCTCTGCCAATGACATGCCCACCGCGGCTGTCAAGCTCTCGGTCCCGCTCGTTTATCTGCTGTATAACGCCGCTGTGACATGAAATCGGCCCGAACAGTGACATCCAGGCGCAGGCGAAAAACACAGCTGGGTACAGGTGCGCAAAAACTGCCATGATGAGCGTCTTCATTTAACAGTGTCAACGCGAGTGTGCGATGCAAGCGAAAGATGGAAAGCTCTAATGTAAGAGAGGGGGAGGGAGGGAGAGAGTGAGAGAGAAAGGGAGAGAGATGGGAAGAGGGTGGGGGAAAACAGAGCTACAAACCGAGCGCGCTCATGTGCTGTAACCTATACTAGTCAGCCGAGACCAGTGACAAGATCAGCCGTATTTGCCTGCCACCTAGTGGAGCTACGAGTCAAGTGTTTGTTTGCTTGTTAGAAAAGTTTATGTTTGTATTAACATCGCATATCAAATAATGCAACAAAAAAAGTCTCTCCTTCATTTCTAAGCTCCAGTTAATTCATTTAATCCCCCATAACATTTGTGACCAAAATTTTAATTCATAAATGTATATTTTTGTGTCAACTATATAGACTGTCTTGGACATTTTTTGTTTTGTTTACATAGTGTAAACAGTCACATGAACAGAGCTGGATGCATGTAAACTAGACTACTTCAAATACAATTACTACATATATATAATATTTAAATGGCCTATTGTTCAAGTATTATTAAGATTGCTCTGTTTTAAATAAACCACAATCACAATGCATGTAAAAAATGCAAAGGGTCACATCTGTGAGCAGGAAAACACTTTGGATTTACAAAATAGATTTTAAAGAACTGTTATATTAAATTAAACAAAGTTTTTTTTGTTTGTGTGTTTTTTTTTGTTTTTTGTTTTTATATCAATGCTCTCTTCCCCCATTTCCTTCAAGCTGTTTTGACTCTGTCTGTAGTACCGGTTAAACAATTGTTAGCAGGAATAAAATATAAGGCCCGGTTTCACAGACATGGCTTAGATTAAGCCACGATTAGGCCTTAGCTCAATTAGAACATTTAAGTGGCTTTTATAAACATGCCTTAAAAAAATATTACTGATGTGCATCTTGAGGCAAAACAATGCCACTAATATATTTATATATAAGATATGTCAGTGCAAGTTGCTTTCAGTTAAAACAGGTCAAACATGCATTTTAGTCTGGGACTATAGCTTAAGCCTTGTCTGTGAAACCGGGGGTAAAACTTTTTTGAAACTGTTTAAACCCTTTGATGCACAACATGGGTCTAAATAGACCCGACTGAGTTTTAATTTTCTATATCTTTGCAAGAAATTAATTTCATCATTCAGTATTCCAGGTATTCAAATCATTACAAGATCATTACAAAAACTTTTCGAATAAAAATCGTTTTTGTGTCACTACCCTTCTAATGCGCAACATGGGTCTAAAATGACCCGTATTCATGTTTCTTTGCTGGATATTTGAAAGAAATGTATTTTATCATTTATTAATCCAGGTATTTATTAAATATCTTGTTTTTGATTTCCACAAATCATTATGTTTATTTTTCCTTTCTTACTTTATAAACAAACACGGTTTTTGTATTTCTACATTAATTTTACACACATGGGTCAAAAATGACCCATATAGGAACCTTTGATATTTATAAATAGTATAAATATATGTACTGCAGAAAACTTTTCACCTGCCACACATTTCACAATTCAACACGGCTGCTTTTGTATATTTCATGCATGTAAGTTTTATTTAATACATTTTTTGTCACAGATTGTCACAATGTCACAAATATTTAATATTTTGTGAAAGACATCTAGATATAGCCAAATATTTGAACGTTTAGGCTAAGGTTACCTTGACCTTGAAATCCATTACTAGTGCAAAAGAGAAACATGTCCAATACTATTAGCTATAGCTTGCGGTCGGCATATTCTATTTTGTTAGCTAGGTCAACAAAATAAAAGTTGCAATAGAAAGTTATATATACAAGTATATATTGTCACTGTTGGGCAGAAAACTTGTACCTCCATAAATCAATGCTATCGGTCACATAAGCCGTCGTGTGGTGGCGTTCTGCTGCACTATGGCTGCTGTCGCATCATCCGGGTGGATGCTGCACATTGCTGGTGGGGAGATCCCCCTACAGTTGCACTATAAAGTTCAATTTCAGTGTTATCGGTTATATGTGTGTTATGTGTGACAAAGTGGCCAATAAACATATTTCAAGTGTTACAGTAAATGTGTTGATCTAAACAACTGTGACATTGGTTATTTTAACAAAAAAAATTCTTTATTCTTTTGTTTTATCACGCTTGCATGGATGGGTCATTTTAGACCCATGTGTGTAAACTTGATGTATTTACGAAATATTAAAATATGAATTTGTGATAATTGAAAACAAGATATTTTGAATATTCATAAATCATGAAATTTAAAGATCATGAAATATTAAATGCTCAAATAAAGTGATTTCAAAAGGTGAAACAAAAAAACGCCAAGCCATGCATGAAATAACATAGGAAATGAATACGGGTCTTTTAGACCCATGTTGTGCATTAGAAGGGGTTTCCTATAGCTATAGCGCATCAGGGTTAAAGCAGCAAATCACTTTAGCTTGGCTCCTGCATGGGGAAAATTTAATCTGACATTAAATTGTTTCATTCAGTGTTTTTGAATAGACATATGCACTTTTAAAATATTTTTTGATACCTCCGTGTACTTGTTGTGTGTGTGTGTATATATACACATATTTTTTCAAATTTGTATCTTTTTCCCTTTAACTTAAAACATTCAACATGGACCAATTATTCAGTGTCATTAAGCTAACTCAGTTGAAATCAATCTAAAAAATCTAGAATTTCAGAAGATGAAGCATGAAATTATATGCACAGCTAAGTATTTCAATTTACATTCTAGCGAGCTGATGCGGCCACTGAATCATACTGTCCAAGTTTTCTAAATAAAGGCAGATTTTCATTTTAAAACAAGCGACACTAAACAAGAGCTTTGCAATTGATTTAACACCTTTAGACTTGTATAGAGTAAAAAATATTATATATTTTGAGTTGAGTTGAAACTATTCTAAAACATCCACATTTTCTACACCTAATTATCAAATGTAGGGTCACAGGGCAGTGCTGAAGCTCAGGCTGACGGCAGTGAAACACACCTCCGTTCATATATTTTGGGGTCAGTACTCTTTTTTTAAATAGTTGTAAAAAAAGTCTCTTATGCTGCTCACACAGGCTGCATTTAAAAATACAGAAAAAAAACAGTAAGATTGAAATAGTCTTTCAAATTAAAATAACTGTTCTCTATTTTAATATTACATTAATGTGATTTAATTACTCCTGTGATGGCAAAGCTGAATTTTCAGCATTACGACTCTCCAATATTCAGTCACATGATGTTTTTTAGAAAACCATTCTAATATCCTGTAACATTTTTTTTATTTATTATTATTATTATTATCAATGTTGAAAACAATTTTGCTGCTGCTTAACATTTTTGTGGAAACTGTGATACATTTTTGTCAATGCTCTTTATAAATAGAATGTTCACAAGAACAACATTTATTGGAAATAGAAATCTTCTGTAAAACATTTTTGATCAATTTAATGCATCCTTGCTGAATAAAAGTAGGAATTCCTTTTAAAAAAAAATGTTTACTGAACCAAACATTTTGAACGGTGTACTATGCTACACATGACTGTGCTCATAGCAGGATTTGATCACTTCTAGGGACCCAGACAAGGTTCAATCCTTATGCAAGCAGGAACTGTTTCTGAGCCTAAATCAAGATACAAGTTAGGATTTCCTCACCTCAATCTCTCAGATGATTTATTGTCCAAGAGACAGACTAGGCTGACTGAGAGTCAGAGGATTACTGGACTAAATTTAAACATTAGCTGTCTGGAAAGAAAAAAATCACAAACACATTTCCTACTTTGATTCTGAATATATAACAAACTGATAAACAAACAGTAAAATTCAAATTGTGATAATTATAGATAAATGCTTTTTTTATGAGCCGATAGAGAATTTCCATCACTCATGCATGAAGTGAACTGACTAGCCTACTCAAGGCAAGAATCTTGCCATTATTTGTCTTCCAATGCCGGTTAAATGCACTTTAAGCAACATATTTTAAATTCATTCGTGTGTGTTGTCTGAATTGGTGAACCTGGAGTGATATAGCTCGGCGTAGTTGAGTAATAAAAGTGTGCGGTAACCTTCAGTTGGCCAAGAAAAGACGCCGTCCTTTATTACGTGCAAAATGTTTCGACCTTTCTCTCAACCAAACTACCGGTAACTACAGAATTGCGTCAGTTTTGACTAGAGCGATGATTGGTCGTGTAAGACAACCGTGTAAGAACAGAAGCTGTGATTGGTTGAATGAGACTTGCTCTTTCTGCGTGTCTCTCAGCGTGGACATTAGCAGTGAAGAGGAAGATGGCGAACTGGTGTGTGCGAGTGATCAGACAGAGCTCTTCTATTATAGCGTCTCCTTCACTTGTAAGGTAGGCTTTCAGAGCAGTGTTATTGTGTCCAGTTGGTGTCCAAGCTTGGTTAAATATTTTGGTTTTATGAAAATTAATAATCGTTCTGTTGCGTAAGCTGTTTAGAAATGAATGATTCTTTCTGATGTCCTAAGGACCCTCACTTATGGCTTCAGATGACAGTAGTCTATCGTTAGACAGCTTTGTTGTCCTGTCGGATACATTATAACTGTGCAGACTAGTTACGTGTGATCATCGATGCTTCTTAGTGAAATGTGCTTACTGTTCTTTACCATATCATGATATATATATCGTTACATACAGAAAATGTTTAATCGAGTTCAGGATGTTTGTTTTGATCGAGTTCAAGATGTTTGTTTTGATTTAAAAATAGTGTCCGTACGTTGGCATGGCAATGACAGACTCATTTTCAGACACGTGCTAGTTCTGAAGACTTACTGAAGTTTAGGCTAATCGTACTGCCGCTGTTTCACCTCTTGATTGGTTTAGACTATCTCTTAACTAGTTGCAGACTGGACTCTTAACTATTTTGTTATGTCAAGTTATCTAGAATCCCATGTCATTGAAAGGTTATGTCCTACAAAGAATTAACCAGTTTAAGATGATAAATCTATTTTATTTATTTTATAAGTAAAACATTCATCACCCATTCAGTGTTCACTGTTACCCATAAAGAAGCAGTTATCTTAAATCAACTAGTTTATAGATCTTGTCTTTTTTTAAGACTGCTTTGCTTTCCATACAGTGATCATTCATGACAGACTTGTCTCTGGCATGTACAGGACTTCATCAATCATTTAGTCCGCTTAAACTCTGATCCTGCAAGCTCATGTTCATCTGCATCCGTTTTTGAGTGCAACGCCCACATCTCACATCCAATCAACAACAGATATATAGAAGCAGGTCCCACTCCCACATTGTTTTTTCTTTTACACTCGGGTGTACATCAAAATATGGAAGAAAAGCTCTGTCACTGCTTTCACTTCATTGTGACTTTCAGTTCCAAAAAGGATAAAATACCCCAAAATCCCATTGATTTTCAATAGCCATTGAAATCAATGCCAATGCTAAAGAATGACATTCTGTTGGTAAACCTAATTTGAAAGAATTATGACTAATTGTTTTTGGGTGAACTTTTCTATTAAGAATAAGGCATAATATCTCTTATCCAAGATAGGTTGTGTAATCTCAATGTATATTTTGCCTATATTGCAAAGGCTGTATTGGTGAATATTCCCATCTTTTAACATTTCAGGACGACCCCACGCCTCCTTTGCACAGCAGCCCAACAGAAAAGCTCAGGAACTGGAACCGAAGAAGAGAATGGGACTCAGAAACCAGAGCCCGGTGCACCTGAGAAAGCCTTCACAGAAGAAAAGATGCAACTGGAAGAACAGCTGAAAGATGTTACGGTAATGCTTTATTTTCAGAAGGATGCAGTCTATTCTGATAATTGGATATATAAAATGTGGACGTTTAAAGGGTTAGCTCACCCAAAAATGAGAATTCTGTCATTAATTACTCACCCGCATGTAATTCCAAACCTGTAAGACTAGTAGAATACTTTTTGTGTGCAAAAAAACACACAAAAATAATAAACGGCCAATAATGAGCCGTAGAACCCGGAAGCGCTGCGTTGTTTAGACTGACACAGACGAGAAGAAATTGTTGAATAAAGTCTTTGTTTTTTGCGCACAAAAAGTATTCTCGTCACTTCATAACATTAAGGTTGAACCACCGTAGTCACATGGACTATTTTAACAATGTCTTTACTACCTTTCTGGGCTTTGAAAGTTGCAATTACGTTGCTGCCTATGGCTGGTTCAGAAACACCTCAGATTTCATCAAAAATATCTTAATTTGTGTTCCGAAGATGAACAATGGTCTTAAGGGTTTGGAACGACATTAGGGTAAGTAATTAATGACAGAAATTTCATTTTTGGGTGAACTAACCCTTTAATAACTAGGGGAGTAGCGGTATAAAGAAGTCACAATTTGGAATGTACCACGGTTTTGGGGTCACAGTTCGATACAAGTTTCAACAAATATCCAATGCTAGGTTTCTTTTCATTTATTTTGAACAGACAGTAGCTCAAATTACAGTTTGTTCCACCTAGCGGCATTTAGTCCCCTAGTTGGTACAGTACAGCCTCCTTTAGTATATTAAGCAGTAAACAGAATGCACTCATGCGGTGACAGAGGCGGATGCACAAAGTTCAATATTACGCTTTTCCAAGGAGAAATCATGGAAAGATGAGCGAGAAGGAGAAAAAGCGCCATCTACATCTGAGTCTACCTCACCTTTCCACAAGGAAACAGCGATTGAAGCAGCACCTGAGGCTTCCCATTTCCAGGACACAAATATTTCATCACTGGACTGAAGTAGTGAGACTTCCAAAGGAAAAATTGTGTCTCATTATAACAGCGGAAACAGTTATATACAGATTGGAGTGTGGATCTCCTGTGACTGACTGTATTCGTCGTCTGACAGTATGTTGACATGTACCGTCAATATTGGCTTAATATTTCTCTTGTGGACCATACATTAATGATAGTGGACAAAATAATAAGAAAAATATTTCCTGTTAAAGAAGTTTTGTTTTGTTATGAAGTCGGTGTTTGAAGCTGCTTTTGATTTTCATCGATGACTGATTATTATAGTGCTGTGTCGGGACCTAAAGATTAGGCTTATATAATTTTAGTAATAATAATATTATTATTAATAATAATTTGAAATTGTATTGTTACTAGCGTCATTAAAATGTTTTGTTAATGTCATGTGCTATCATATGGAAACAAAACAAAACGCTGACAAACAGTTCCCGTTTTTGCCAAGGCACAAATGACTGTATAAGAAAGAATGATGCTTCTCTTTTATAACCAGCACTCTTGACAATTTGTGAATAATAACCTTTCAGTTCCATTTTGATGTGGGATGTAGTTTAAAAAAATATATATTAATTGAGTCCTCAATCCTGTCACAAGTGTGGTGATGTTGTTATGAAATTTGGGTAGGCAAAAATTAATTGTATGTCCTAATATTAATTTGATAATAATTCTAGCCTGATATAATAAAAATAATAACAATAATCAGGGCTCCAGACTAACTTTTCCACTGGTTGCACTGGTGCTACCAACTTTCTCAGTTGGTTGCACCTTTTTTTTTTTTTTTGCGCTACATGCCATGGGATTAATCAATGCATGCTGATGAATAGTGGTTTTAATCTGCATACCATAATTTTGCACTGATTTAAAAAGACTGACAGTGACACAAGACCTCATGTTAGCAAAATGTTTTAACCTTTTAACTATCAAATCAAAATATTCTCAAAAAAACTATTAAAAAGTTAAAAGTAAAAAGATGACACTGAAAAATAGTAGTATTTAATTAAATGCATTTATGGTGAGATTACTACATTTTATTAAATTAAATGCATTTATGATGAAATTCATTGTCATGTCAATTTGTGCTCATTTGGACCACGAACTATGCGCTGTCACTTCAATTCAGCGCGTGCAGCACATAGACTGTAAAAAAAAGGTGCAGCACAGCAAAAATAGACTCGGTGTGTAAACGATCTCTGCACTGCTACGCACCGCTCCTGGAACGGATGCAGTGTGAAAATACCGTGTCAGGCTACACAAATATTGATCTTGACATTGTTAGCCTAGTCTTTTTTACATGTCGTACACTGTACATTTAACTTGCACTTATTATGACTTAATTCCTAATTGGCGCGTTTCACCATCAGTGCAATGCGCGTGACGTGTACGTTCGTTAATAAATAAACTGCAAGTGTCTTGTGGAAGAACATTGTAGCCGGAGCTACTTCTCTCCGTTAATGTCTATGGCGAGTCACACAGGCACTCGGCAACTCCGCAGCCGAGCCGACCCCGGGATAAAATAGTCAGAATATAAACACGGTTTATAAAGTCAAAAACACGGTTTGGAAAATGGATTCATGATGCACTCGTTCATTTTGAACATACGGACTGCAGCAGCTGCTGATTCAACGGCGTTCTTTTGCGCATGCGTGAATTTAACTGAGTACATGACCATGCACTCGCACAAATGCGACCACATAAAATTTTAACTCGCACATTCTCAAAAAATGGTCCATTTTGGTCGCAGTCTGGAAACCCTTATAATTTAATACGTCAATGTGAAAACAAGCCAATTATCATCTTGATATCTTTAAAGGCATCACCCATCTGCAATATCGCTGAGTCTGACTATCATGATGCATGATATCATCATCTACTGGCACAACCCTAGTATAGGTAGTTCCAGTCAAAAATTCACTTAAACAGAGATTGAAATGTACCGACAGTAAATGTTTTTCTTGCGGTTCACAAAATCATGTAATTTCCTCCTGCACAGCCTGACCTTCAATTGCCCTTGTAGTTCAAGGACACCCCAAGGACTATCCACTTGTTCTATATTGTTTATAAAACCAGTTTTGTAGGAACTGGAGCTGGTCATGTTTCAGATTATTGATATTCAGAGGATTTACTTGCCTGTAAATCAGCTGTAAAGTGTCCCAGACTTAAGCTGGGTGCACACTGTGCGATTTGTGCCACGATTTGGCCGTCTGAGACACTGTTTGCAAATCTTAAAAGATTCCTCTGATCCTAGGCTAAAGTTTGAAGTATTTGATCGTTAGTTTGACATGGTCACCGACAGCCGATTAATGACCGTTGCGATCAAATTTTTACCTCCGACGAAATTCTGAAGTCCTGTAGTGTGACTTCTGCTACGATTTTCAAGAAAAGCCAATGACCAAAATGAACGTTAGTGATTTCTTTGTAGCCACCATTTCAATCCTGCGTGTAATGCAGCTCACTGTCACCGAACGTGTCATTGATTGATGTAAAACTCCGGACAAGTTTTCTTTCTACAGTCTTTAATGACAACTGAGATCTTACAGTGTGACATGGCTTACAGCGAGGATCATGTTCGTACAGTCTGACAAGGAACAATTGTAAAAGACTATAATAAATCGCACAGTGTGCACCGGCTTAACTCAGAATGTGTCTTTGAGTGTCAACCTCAGCTTTGACCTTTCTTTATTTTGAAGCATTCAGATTAATCAATACCGTGAATCCAGCACGTTGTAAATGGTATTATTTCTGTGCAACATAAATCTTCTGAGAGTCAAAAGTGTTTTGGAGAGGAGAAGTTTAAATATTGTGTGTAATTTGATCAGATAACTCAGCATGCTGTTTGTAGTTTATTGTCTGATCATTTTAAATCGCCTTTTGCTGCAGGATAAATACAAGCGGGCACTAGCAGACACTGAGAACCTTAGGCAAAGAAGTCAAAAGATGATTGATGATGCTAAGCTATATGGTAAGCTATTATATTAGTTTATAAGCTGTTTTATAAACCGACATTTCCGCATCTTTGTTTAATGTTTTCACTCTTGTTTGTTTTTTCTCAGGAATTCAGGGCTTCTGTAAAGACCTCTTGGAGGTGGCTGACATCTTAGAGAAGGCAACAGAAAGTGTACCGAAAACAGAAGTGTCTGCTGCAAATCCTCACTTGAAAAATCTTTACGATGGCCTTGTAATGACTGAGGTGCAGATCCAAAAGGTCTTCAAAAAACACGGCCTTGTTAAGCTTAATCCTGATAGTCAGAAATTTGATCCTTATGAACATGAGGCTGTCTTTCATGCACCTGTGGAGGGCAAGGAGCCGGGTACCGTAGCCGTAGTTACTAAAGTAGGCTATAAGCTGCATGGCCGCACCCTCCGGCCAGCTCTGGTGGGTGTAGTCAAGGCCCCCTAACTACTCGTACACTCTATGGTGGGTCATTGCCTGGTCTTAGGTTCCACAGCTTTTTTTGTTAAAGGTGCCTCTGAGAGGTGAAGTCCAATATGTTGACAACTGAAGGACAATGCCAGACTAATCTTTATGTATTAATAATGATCAACATAAATATTGTAAGAGTATATTATAAGAGTTGAGTCTGTATGCAGTAGAAGATTCACTGAATATTGGATTGGATGCAACATTATTCCTTTGAGAATCACCACCACCATTCCATCTTTTAAAGAAACACTGCAGCACATTATACTGTTGGACATCTTTTCTCAATATACGTATTTGCTCTTATATTAATTACTTTACTAAATTTTTTTTTTTTTTTTTTTTTTTACCAATTTGGCCCCTACATGTATGATGATGTGTTGACAGCAGTTGTTAAATTCCACTTGATTTGTTTCTGTTTTTTGTTCAAAAATAAAATGTATATAATTTTATAATAATTTAATTAACAGCAGTTGTACTTCCTACTATTTCACTACTATTTTCATAGTGTGCAGACTTGATGAAATATCACATATGTCAACAGAAATTGTAATAAGAACTGATGAGTTTCTGTGAAGTTTTGGGGAGAGGAAGGTGCGAGCACTCTGAGAGAGATGTGTCCTACAAAGTCATTAAAAATGGTGGTGGTTATATGGGTATATTCAACTTTTCCATTCATGTGAACAAGCAGACAATTGTCAAATAAATCGCATACCATTTTCAAAAGTAGATCTCTCATTATTACATCTTCCATAAGTTTGTAGTACATTTATGTTGAAATTTTCAGGACAAGAGTTCAACTAAGGATACAGTGGTAAATTAAATACTTAATTTTGGTTACTGTTACATAATGTTATTTGAATGAAAGAATATAGTGATATATGTGGGCATATTCTTTTAAATGGCATTTCATACTAATAAAATCCATTAATATTTTAAAATGACTAAATTGTTGTTTTCTTACAGATCTTATTTAGATTACGCCTTCTGATATTTCAGTCTTGACATCTTGAAATGTAAGCAAGGGCATTTTTTCCATTTAAAAACAGACAATAGGTTATATTTCAACACTTTAATACAAAGTAGGAAAGAACATGACATATGCAATAAAATACTTTCCACAACTCAATATTTTGACAAATATGATCCTTCAAAAATGGACTATTTGACCAGAAAACATGTCACAACCAAGCAGAAAAAAGTCTCCTCATCATTTTTAAATGTCACATTGTCTTTAAAAAAATTCTAAAAACATACTTAAGATAGTGTCTTTCTGTGAAGATGCCATTTTCAGTATTATCCCCTCTCACATTTTCAGTTACTTTAGAAAAATAATTATACTTTTTGAAATAGCATATTGAATGAATATTACAGTGAAAATATTAAGCTTTAAATGAACAGGTCACTTTTTTTTCTTAACAATTGAATGGTGGTGAGCATGACTAGACTTGAAGAGTGGCTTGGGAACCAAAAGAAAGATGACCAAAGATCCTATTTCCTATAACTGAAGCACAACCTGAAGATTAACCCTTTGTAACATTTAAGCACCCCAATAGAAATCCCTAATATGCATTATTCATACATCTCACATATGCCATTGGTGAGTTTCTCTCCCAGTGCAACTGCACATCTGCTTTTAATGGCTTTACTCAGAAGACACAAATATTGTGTATTGTGTGGGGCAGTTATGTCTAGCATAGAAATGTGGAAAAAACAGGATCAAACAGACACCTAAATGTACATTTGTGATGTGGTACAATTTAAGATTAAAATATAATATTAATTTAAAGGGAAAGGGATAAAAACCATCAACCTGGGCACATTTGCTTCAAGGCACACTACATGAGCATACTCAAACATGACTGACTTTATATGTACCAATGTCTGGGGCAAAAAATGACAAACAAACAAATGTGGATGGCCACCTTGGCCTTTACAACGGATTTACACTAAACAGTTATTTCCAATATCGTATACATAAAAAAACAATAGCTAAAAGTTATAATGTATCTATTCTATTTGACTCTTAATATATTAATCATTTCAAAACTATGTAAAAATTTTAAACCTTTGCATTTGCCTCTGTGAACAGTGCTTGTCTTAGTTTTCTACAACTTTGGGGTAGACACGAGCAGGCAATAATAACATTAAAAATCATGGAAAAATAGGTTTGTCTCAGTTGTAATCTAAGATTTGGTATTGCATGAACATTTTGTCAAGGCATTTGAAAATTAAAGAAAAAAAACTTTAGTATGTAGTTGAAACACTAACACAGTCTCAGCTTAGAAATTTTGTTGTACACTTTTGAGATGAGAACCCTTGATGCTGCATGTAGCATTATCCATCAAACAAATAGGAATAATACCCTCTTGAAACATGAGCATTATGGTAAATATTCTTATGTTGCTTTACTCGTCAAGCTAATACTTTATATAACCTGGTTGTGTGCCTTTTAACCCAAGCTTCTGAAACATGCTCAATAAACAGCTATAGTAACAACCTCACAAAGGTCAACTCCAAAAAAAAAAATCATAATCAAACATGAACATCGGCTGTTTTTAGATAGTATCGAGCATGCTTCATGTGTCTCACATTCCCACCATTGACAACAGAATATATCCAACTGACACAGGCAAATTCAAGTTAGCATAAGACTTTTGGCAAGCAGAACAAGGATCTGTCTTAAATTCCTTCTTATGACAAAACAAGAAACTCAGAACCAAAACTCTGCTTTGTACAACATTAAGCATTCTGTTGAAACTCTATTGGCAGGGAACATTCAAGTGCCACTCAAAATCACATTCAAAACGGAGGCATTTTAACAAGGGGCAATGGGTTTTGTGTTATATTCTGATGTGTTACACAGGACAACATACTGGAATGTTCCCTATGATGGATACTGATTATGTACCTTCTATAACAGGAATTTCCCTATGTTTATGATCCTATGAGGAGATCTGAGATCAAAGACACACATGTTAGACTGACTGAAGGTCCACATCCAGTAGTGTGGCATCTACAGTCATTTTGTTCTCACAGGCTTTTCTGAGATCCATTATAAAACAGTAGAAAAATATATTTACAATCATTATTCATACAGCCGAATCTTTGGACAGTGTCGTTAAGAGGTTTCTCGGGATATCCAGCCACTCTCCGACAAAAAATTCAGAATCCGTTTTTTCAGCACCTTGTCCAGGTAGCTGGGTAGGCGGCTTTTCGAGGGAATGCCCTGCCGTTTCTGTAAGTGATCTTTGATGATGATAGTCTTGACAGTCAGATAGCGCGTAGGACTAAGGTTCATAGAGTTGCACAGTACCTTCTCCCGATCCGACAGCAGCTCAAAGCCAGACAGGTTCTCGATAGCTGAGAACTCACTGTCCTTCCCCTCCTCTTTAATGGCACTGACTCCTCCACCGCCGCCAAGCCCACCTCCTGCTCCAACCCCTCCTCCAAGCCCGGCCGCTCCTCCTCCACCACTGCTGCCTCTCTTTGAGCCAGCAACACTTTTGTTCTCTTTCCGTTTTTCCCGTTTGTGGCGTGCTGCCTCATACTCGGCCGACTCGTCGAGCCTCGTGATGCCATTTCGCCGATAACGCTGAAGCTCCCGAACCTTCGCCCGTAGCATGCGCTCTTTGTGCATGTTATCGAAGAATTCTTCAAACTCACGCTGTGGCATGAACTGGCAAAGACCACGTAGTTTGGTCCGTTGCTCCTTCTCTTCCTTGGTGATTTTGCGTTTCGGGGTTGCTGCTGCAGAGGAGCCCAGCGGCCCTGTTGGAATGATGGTGGTAACGCCCCCCAATCCAAGAGCACCACCTGCACCCGCAACCCCTCCTGTTCCACCCGGTCGTTCTCGCTCTTTATCTTTTTTGTCCCGTCCCAGAAAGGCTGGCACTAAATTGTAGTCACGAGCAATGTTTTTGCGGCGCTGGCGCTCACGCAGCTTCCGCACGTACATGTCCACGTGGGCTCGCTTCATCTCAATCTCAATATCTTCATCGTCGTAGTTTACAGACAACCCACTGATGAGTTTCTCTGCCTCCTGGTCATATTCAATCTCGTAGTCGTCCCGAAGCGGCATGTATCCAAGCTGCTGCTGCTCCGCCACAGATATGTCTAGTGGGGGCAACGGGGTAGTCAAACTAGGAGATAGCGGACCTCCACTTGGGCAAGTGTGGTCTGTCACGCGGTTGGGGATGCTGTCAGTGATGCAGGCTTTGCCCAGATTCCCATGGATATACATGCTCACATAATGGTCCATGACCTCCTGAGGGGTGCGCGATGCACCAACATGGGCTGCCATATCCTCCTAACACACAGAAATAATCAAAGTTAAAGGGTTAGTTCATCTAAAAAGGAAAATTCATCATCAATTACTCACCCTCATGTTGTTTCAAATCCACAAGACTTTCGTTCATCTTCAAAACATAAGTGAGGATGAGGTGACTGTGTATCTTCAGAAGACTTAAACAGGGTGAATCATGTGTAATACGTTTACAAAAATTTTAATACATTTTTTGATGACATGGACTTTCAATGAAGGAGCAAAAATCTCTCAGGTTTCATTTAAAATATCTTCATCTGTGTTTTGAAGATGAACAAAAGTTGTATGCGCTTGGAACAACATAAGAGCGAGAATATTCGGCGAACTATCCCTTTGACATACAGCCAGATCATTATAATGTGAAAGTTACAAACATAAATATTACTATTAAGTTAATGCAAATATTACTGAATCAACAAAATTGCTTTCGGTACAAGTGCACACAGTACAGTTTGTTCTCTCTATGTATATATTATGTTATAAGTTCTTATGAGTGACAAAAACTGTAATGCACCACAGACCTAGGGAATCTACTAGTAGGTTCTTTAAAAAAAATACTTTCTCTAAGTTTCTTCTTTGAGCAATGCATCATTTGTTTGCATTGCAATGCATCAGACTACTTGCATGGAGGTGCACATTTGGCAATACAATGGAGGTTTATTAAAGCCGCATAAATATGGACTCAATTGAGAATCGTACCCAGTTACCAAATCCATATTGCTCGATGGCATCGAGCAGCGACTGTTCTTCCCTGCTAGTCCATCCTCCCTCTGCTTCGGGACCCCAGAGCGAAAAGCGCCCGCCGTCAACTTGCTGATAGCCATGCCATCGTCTATGGTTGCCGATTTCGGCACCGGCGGAGAAGCACTCCGGGCAAAGTTCAATATCTTGACATTCGGCACAACGAATCCGCAAATTCGTAACATCTGCCAGGCAGTTCACACAGTACTTCTTCCCTACGTCGGCCATATTGCTTACTACCGCTTGTTGTTGGAAGCAGCAGTGGCGCGGGGGAGGACATGCGCAGTGGAGTATCACTGGTCACGCCGCTGCGTCTCATTAATATTAACAGTAACACAGCAATTGCTTGTGATTGGCTTTCGCTCTGGTGTCCATGGCAACACACACGCACTCCCATACAGACACAAAATAGTTGAGGCAAGCGCTGTTTCTGTTTCGTGAGGTAAACGTTGGTTATTTTAGATAAATTACAGGTAATTATTTTTTAGGTGAATAAAAAAATATTATTGTTAAAAATCGTGTGTAAATTCAACTAAATAAAATGGAAGAGGGTTCATTAGATCACGAAGAAAGCCCTGTTTTAGAAAATAACACGCCGGTGGAAAACACTGAAACGTTTGAGGATCTAACAGAGGCAACAAGTGCACAAGAAATTGAAGAAACTGAACCTCCTAATATTTCAGAAGTTGGTGAGGATGATGTGGTCGAGCAGGGTTCACACCTCTCATTGGGCGTCCTCACAGAAGACACGTCCAGTGCTGAGACAAGTGGACCCCAGCAGGAAGAAACCGAGTCTAGGCAACATATGATAACGGAAAAAAGGGATGAAATAGAACTCCTTATAAATGAGAACTCGGAGGACACTGATGGTCCTGAAATAGAACATTTCATTGATGATCTTCTATCACGTGAGGACACTGAGGAGGAGGAGGAGGAGGAGGAGAGACTTCTAACTCCTGACCCAAAAAATGAGAGGACCAGCCCTTCCAATGAATCACTGGTTCCTGCAGAAGTGGAAGAGTTTGGCCTACGGATCAACAATAAGGAACATATGGATCTGCTACATGAACTACAGGCTGAGAATGAAGCACTTAGACAGCTAAATGGTCAGCTGCAGACCCAAATAGCGGAATACCTCAGCAAGAAGACAAGTGCCAAACTGGAGGGAGATATCTCAGGACAGGAGCAGTACCAAAAGTGCATGGAGCTCATGGAGGACCTGAGAGAGCAGCACCACCTTTGCTCAGAGCTCCACCAACAGCAGACTAAGGAGCTCCGCCAGCAGAGCTTAGAGAAACTGAACCAGGTGAACCAGGAGTTGAGATCATTTGCTGCACTGAAATATGAGGCTGCCATGACAGCACTGACTGGTAAGGTGGGCAAACAGGCAGCACTGGCAAAGGTGGAGCAGCTGCAGGCTGATGGACTGAAGCAGGAAGACAAGCTGGCATGTGTGCGTCTCAACAGTATCAAGCTCAAGAACAAAATATGTCAATTTGAGATGGCACTTAGATCCAAACGGCAGCTGGCTGATGGCTTGCTGCTGATGGACTTTGAGCAGCTCAAAGCAGAGAACAAGACATTTAAAGACAAGATGAACGAGCGCAACGAGGAGCTACGTATTCTAAAAACGAGGGTTGCCTGCGCTGTGCAGGTAAATCACAAACATCACCTAAACATCCTTCTTTCTTTCTTTCTTTCTTTCTTTCTTTCTTTCTTTCTTTCTTTCTTTCTTTCTTTCTTTCTTTCTTTCTTTCAACTCATATTGAGGAGTGAAATTAGTTTTGTGGTCATCAGGATGTTAAAACATATATTTATTAATATATTTAATTCATTATATATCAATAAATAAAATATTATTTCAAATATATAGCTAAGCAGCTAAATGCACAACTGTACACATAAGATGTCTTTTGAAATGTTGTTGTGTATAGAAAGCTATTCTTAGTATTTATTTTAACAAACTGTGTAAGTTTTTCATTTAATTTCTACACATTTCTTTGTCCCACAACCTCAGGGCATTTCTCATGTGAAAGAGAAGCTGCATTTCATGCAGATAGAGAATAAGGCCAAACACACTCAACTTGCCAAGGCAGACACGTTGGTGGCTCTTAAACGTGAAGTACTGACACGTACCCGACAGGTTCGTGACGGCCTACGCGCAGACAATCTAAAGCTGCAGCAGCGCTGTGGCCTGCTGGGAAACACCACACTACTGCGGGACTTTGAGGAGAAGGTTGACACCTCTGAATGCCTGCAGCAGAGACTGGAGATGTTAAAAAGACGTCACGCTGAGCTCATACTGAAGTGTGCCGGAGTGAAGCAGAAGATTGAGCAAAGCAAACCAGAGTCCCAGTGACATCACATGTGCACTTTGATCCCCTAAATTGTAAATGTAATGTGTAACTTGACAAAGTAACATAAACAAGAGTGAAAATGTCTGGTGAGAAATACTGAGAAATAATACTTGTCATCAAATTTATCATCTTAGCATTCAAAGTTTATATCTTAGTTGTTTTCTTATTGTGATTGTTACAGTGCCAGCAGATGGCGGTATTTCTTATGGCTTACCTTGCAAGCTAATTGTCTTGTGTGTTCTATAAAGAAATCTGATATCACTACCTGATATTTTGGCATCTGTTGATATTTAAGCCTATTTAAACTAAACAAGTGCTTATAAAGGTTTGTGGTCAACAAACAATGGATGCCAGTTTTGGTTTATGCTCATGACTAACTACTGACTACTTTAAAGGATGCTGTTGAATTCTTGATTCTTTGGTGCAAAGCAGAAGTAATTTAAATGGCCTTTCTGATCTAATTTACTGTATCAATAATTCACAAAGGCAGCATTATTTGACAAAAGTACAAAGACAGTAAGAACATGTACATGGTCAGAGAAGATTTTACTTCAATGTGTATAACTTGCTGAGCAACCTGCATCAGTGCATGTTCTAATAACAATAATTTAGAGATTGCATGTCTTTATTTAAATGCTTATACAGATATATGATATAGATGAATAAAAAACAACAACAAAAGGCAACATTATAGTCTGACTGGCCAAAGTGGCCAATTATTCATACTTGGACACAGATATATTAAACATCCAACTGCCTTAAACTCCTTCAACATCCATATCCGTCCTTCGGATGAGACGTTAAACCGAGGCCCTGACTCTCTGTGGTCATTAAAAATCCCAGGATGTCCTTCGAAAAAGAGTAGGGGTGTAACCCCGGCATCCTGGCCAAAATTTGCCCTTGGCCTTTGTCCATCATGGCCTCCTAATCATCCCCATACACTGATTGGCTTCATCACTGTCTCCTTTCCACCAATAAGCTGGTGTGTGGTGGGCGTATTGGCGCAATATGGCTGCTGTCGCATCATCCAGGTGGATGCTGCACATTGGTGGTGGTTGAGGAGATTCCCCCTTCTATGTATAGCGCTTTTGAGTACCCAGAAAAGCGCTATATAAATGTAACGAATTATTATTATAAGTAAAACTAACAAACAATGCACAATACTTTATTCAGGGTTTTTCCTGGCTCAAAATGAGGTGGAGAAGAAACCACTTTTTACAAGAAAATATTTTAGTTATTTAACAATAAGGTAATTAGATTTATTTTGAGGACACTATCATATACTGTGTTTCCCACAGGATTTTGTGAATGTGAGGTGACTGGACCTTGGTTCTGCTAGGGGGGCGGGGGCTATGCCCATGTTCAGGTTGCAAATTAAAAGTCTGTGGATTGAAGGGGGCTTTAGGGCTCGTGCGCTAGAGATGAGCAGATCAGCTCTAACGCCACCTGAATCTGCTGTTAAAAATAAATCATCCACCTGCCAACCGCTCAAACTTATGATATTCTCTGATTTAGATATCTGCACCTGATCATCACATTACAATTATTCAAATTCTCAGTGTTAAGCATGATGATATGGTAACATATCACACTGAAGTAGGCTGCTTTTAAATGAACATTTATTTAAAATAAAAGTTCTTCTTTGGCAAAAATGAAATTTCTTTAATAGCCTAAACACAGGCTTTACTCCTTCAACCTTAAATTATCACTGTTTCATTACATCATTGTTGGAAAACACTCTTATCAGAATCATTTCTGTTAAGCTTGTTTATGTTTTTAGTTAAAGCTGTTAAGTTATAAAGCAATCTCATATAGGGTTTTCCTTTGTGTATTATATAATGCCCACTAGAAGGTGCTCTAGGCATGTTTTCCTTGATTGTTTTTCCCTGAAGAGAAATATGTTGTTGATAACGAAAGTAAAAGTGACTTCACATTTGTTGCATTTTACTGTGAAATTAGAGATCTGTGTCTTACATTAATGTACCTGTCTACCCACCATACTCCTGTGAAGAGGTGTGTGTGTGCTCTCTTTACACTCCAGCTCCAGAAATCATTACTCCGCTATCGCCCTGGTAAATGAAAAGAGACTCAATTAGTTCATATTCATCTGCTCACCATTATTCTGACTGTTCCATTACTCACCTGCCAGCTGTTACGCTCACCTTCATCACTGTCAATAAATACCCTGTTTGGGTTTAACCTTATCTCTGTCTCCGAGTCTGGTGTTCCCTGACAGAAGACCAGACCATACCAACATGAACCCATCGGGGTATTCACCTGTCCACCCCAGTGACCTGCTCCTATCCCTCTCATAAGCTGGCCGCCCTCTAGAAGACCATGTGGAGGAGTTACTCGAGCTGTCCCATCTGGTGTCCTGAAGCAACGACACTCTGAAGACAGTCTTCGGGAGTGGGTTGGATGATCATCTATTCAAACATCTACCAGTGGGAACTACCAACTGTACCCTTAAACGATATGTAGAATATGTACTGTGGCTGAGTGGTTCCTCCCTCACATTAGGCAAATTGGATGAAGACATCATCGCTCCTCAGTTGCAGGCTCTACAGCCCACTCTAGTCCTCCTGGTGCCGTCGGTCTTCATCTCAAAGATTTCAAAGGGACTTCCTCCCAAGTCCCTTTCCATCCCTCTTCACACCTTCCAACATGCTAGAGTTCACCACGAGTCAAGAACTAGAGCCAATGATTGCCACAAATCCCGAGCTCAGACAGCCCCTTACCCCACCCACCACAGTCACAGAGCCAGATCCAAACAAGGACCTGCCATGGATGGAGAAGGTCATGACCCCATGTCAGGGTCATGTCTGACCAGGTTCGAGAGTCGGCACCCATGGCCATCCCAGTGGGGATTTTAGTGTAATTTGACGGTGTGGAGTTGGATTCCATCCATGCCCCTTTCCCTGATGTACACTGGCTGCATACAAGAACAGTCAATATAATGGATTGACTGGTTCCCTCCTATTCCCAATGCCAGCCCCAAGACTCCTGCATCTCCGCTAGTCCCACCCAGCTCCGTCTCCTACTTCTCTGCTGGTCACGCCCAGCTCCAAGTCTCCATCTCCGATGGTCCCACCCCGCCTCCCTCTCCCGCTTCCTCTACCAAAGCCAGCCAGTAAAACTTGGCCCTGCTTCCGCTGTCTCCTGTTAGCCTCTCAACTCCTCCTTCAGCGATGCCGCATAATGGTTTGGATGCGCCTTGGGACCTCCAGTTTCCAGCTCCGCCTTGGCATGACAATCCCCCATGACAAGCGTAATAAAGCCTAGGCTTAAGTTTCGTTGGTGCAATCGACGTTAGGTCAACTCTAAAGACTGGTCTTAACCAAGACCTACTTAGCAGTTAGGACCAGGCTTAGTAAAGCCCTGTTGATGCAACCGGCTCCCGGACTCCACTTCGGTCCTCTGACCCATTGGCTCCACCTTGGCTCCATGCTCCCTTGACTCCACTGTGGACTGTAATTCCACTGTCTCCGTCTGGCTCCCTCATCCCTCAGGCTACACCTTTGTCAGACGTCTCCCTGGTTTTTCCACTGGATTCCTGGCCTCTAGCTCCTCCTCAACCTTCTATCCCTTCGGCTCCACCGGGCTCCGCCTTCCCTCTGGCTCCATAGTTGTCCTCGGTCACCCCGGATCCACCATCGTCTTCCAGGTACCCATCTCCAACTCAGTCCCATGAGCCATCAGCTCCGCCTTTGCCCTCCAGACCAGAGGTGTCATCTTGGCTCTTAGTCTCCTCGGTTTTGCCTGGGTCTCCACCTCCGTTGGTCAGAACTCTTGCTCCATCCTGGATCCGCCCTCCATCTGCTCCACCGTGGGTCCTCGTCCTGGCTCTAGTCTGGCTCCTGTGGTGTTTGCCTTCAAAAACTCCTCAATTGCCCTGTCACTCACTGTTCCCTCTCATTGCCTCAAGGACCATTACATTTTTGTGGGCGTCAGGAGTTGACAATGGAGGGGTGTGTGTGGGGGGGATTGGTAATGTCACATATGCTCCCTATCTGCCCATCTTCAACAGCCCAGTCATCTAACCAGAAACTACATTTCCTAGCATCCCTCCTGTCCCTCGCTTGCACTCAATCGGCCATAACCCACACCTATTTCCCATCAGCACTTCAATCTGCACCAGGATGTAAGTACACAGCTCACACTCACTCTTTGTCTGGTCTCAACTACGGACAATAGATTACTTACCTACTCCACTTACCTTTTGGATCTCCCTGTGATTCTCCAGCGATCTCCTTGTAAATCTCCCTGTGATACTCCAACAATCTCCTGTAAAGCTACTCTTTGGAATATTACACGTGCCTGTCTACTCACCATACTCATGTGAAGAGGTGTGTGCTCTCTCTACACTCCCGTTCCAGTCATCGTTGCTTTGATAATTTTCGCCCCATTTCAAATCTACAGTTTCTTTCTAAAATACTGGAAAGGATTATTGCAGCCCACACTGTAAAAAATTATCGTGATTTTAACGGTAAAAATGCTACAGTGAAAAAACGTTAATTGGTTAACAGAAAGTTTCCGTACTATATACACGGTACATAACTGTGATAGATCTGATGGTACATTTAATGTAGTTTTACTGTAAAAAAATTGTTTTTGGAAGTGAAAAAGAACAACTCATTGTATAATTTACAGTGAAAAACCGCAAATTGACATTCCCACAATTCCCTGCTTGACGCTTCACATTTGATGGATTTTTGTTGAAATAACTGTTTCTTCATAGTTTTTCTTAGTTTTTTTCTTATCAGTTATGTACATCATGGTTTTATGTTACATTTAATGTTGTTAAATTAATGTTTATTGCATTTTTTAAATGTCATGTGTGTTACCATGATGGTGTTTAGTGTGTGTGAATGACACTCTGCAGCTTCTGTATATCAGTATTAACTGTCTTGTAGAAGAACTGCTTGTGAGGAACTTTGATTGATCATGTGACTCATCACTGCTGTGATTGGTGGTTGTCATTGTATCATCACAATGATACAAAACAGATATTAATACTTCAATAGGACAGTAAATTCACCTTAAATCAGATAATGAAATATGGTTTATTACTGTAAATTTTTAAGTTAGGCCTGTAAAACCAATAAAGTTGCTACCGTATTTTTGACGGTAAAGTTCTGGCAGTCACTGTTGCTGTTTTTTTACTGTAAAAATGAAGGTTTATTTTTTACAGTGCAGGTCCAGGATCATCTTTCTGATAATAGTTTGTATGAGCAATTTCAATCTGGTTTCCATCCATATCATAGTGTTGATATGCATTAGTTAAGATCTTTAATGACTTACTGTCAGCTGCTGACAGCATTCTGTTAGACAGATTAAAGT